CATTCTTGCTATCATGAAATGAATTATCTAATAAATAAAGAAGACATTAAATAAAAATTTACACACATTCGACAGTTGAAATAAGTGCTACAAAGCACAATGTATACTAGAGTATCTTATAGGATGAGCAATGTTATTTTACAAATGTTTCTTGAGGAAGTCACATTTAAGTGAGGTCAGAAGAATGAAATTATAGTGCTTTTTATGTCCCAGCTCTGTAGTGTAAGTGCAGGACTGCAAGGTTGCTTTGAATCACAAGGTGAGTGGTTCAAACTCATCAGTCCCTCCTCAGAAACCCTATACTGAGTTGCTATGAGTTGGAACCAACTCAACGGCACTTAACAACAACATGTCCCAGTACTATTCAGAGCCCTGGTGTGGCACTGTAGGATGAGCACTGGACTGCTAACCACCGGGTTGGTATGAGTCAGATTTGAGATACCTTATTAACATTTTTACTCTTGGGAATGGATGAAGAAAAAAATACAAAAGACCCAGAATGAAAGTTTGAGTAACTGGAAACATTTAAATTTAGGTAGAATAGGTGTCAGCCAACACAGGAGGATGAGGAACGGGATCCTGGTAGGTATAAGTAGAGCTAAGAAGATACGGTAATTTTGGTTGTCCGATATTTAATGTTACCTCTTTTTCCTTCTGGAATGTCACAGTTCTACTGGTATGGTGCTGTAGGATAAGTACTGGACTGCTTACTGTAATATCAGGGCTTCAAACCTACCTGTTGCTCCTCAGAAACCCTGTACTGGGTCACTATAAATCTTTACCAACTTACAGGCATTTCCAAACAATACCAACTAAATTGCTTGGAGATCAGCTTTCCATGGTGGTCTTTATTTTGTTTAGTTGAAGAACTAGACCTTTTATTTTACATCATGATTTTCTTTTCTTGTTGTTTTGGTTTCTTTTATTTCTCATTAAGTATTCTTTCAAATTTAATTCTAGTTCCTGTTTAGACTACTAGAGATGATTGGTTTGCAAGGAATTTAAAAAAAAAAAAGTGTGGGCCAGCCCTCACAATTTTGCAATATTATTCTTAGTTTACCTGCTAGAAAATGTATATAGCATTACAACATTGATTTTGTCTACCATAATTTTAAGTAGTCTTGCTCGTGCAATGGGTTAAGTGTCAGACTGTTAACCATCAGTCTTGCAGTTCAAACCCACCAGCCACTCCTCCAGAGAAAAATGAGGCTGTTTGCTTCCATGAAGAATTACAGTTTCGGAAACCCTAAAGAACAGTTCTACTCTGTCCTATGCAGTCACTATAAATTGAAATTAACTCGATGGCAGTGGCAGTGGATTTTTAAAAGTTTTTATTGTGAATTGAGTGATAGTTAACATAGGGGAACATCAGTTTTATACTCATCATTTCATTGCAATGATTACAATCTCCTCCGTGCATCATTACTCAATAGTATGTGCTTCTTTCTATTCCCTCTGTTTTTTGTTTGTTTCTTTCTTTCTTTTTAAAGGATTTACACAAACACTCAGAAATATATAATAATTTAAACAACTAAAGTACATATTCTGGAAGCCTGCCTCCTGGCCACCATCACCTGGCTGCCAGCACACAGCCTTTTTGTTTCCATGAGTTTAGAGCCTTCAGCTGCTCTATTTTTTCATGTCACCATTTCTGTCTCCATCTCTGGTATCACTGCTTCTCTGAATGTGGCCCCACATTCTGCTTGAGCTCTTCTCCTTTGATGGTCCTTGGGTTCTCTGTTCCTGGACTGTAAGATTAACTACTCCCCGCTTTTTGTTATAAAACTTGTACCTTTATAGTTGTGACAGTCAAAATTAGTCATGATAACAATTATTCACTATTGAATCATAAGAATCTTATCCCCATCTCTTTTTACGAGACCCATCTAGACAACATGAAAATATTCAGTAGGGATTCTGCCATCCCCTGAACCCTCTGAAACTAAACTTCCCCTTGAAAATTTGTAAGCCAGTTACATCTTGTCTTTATAGCCTCCCATTTTGGTAGCCAATGTCTAAGTTGCCCATCACTATCAACTCTGTATACAGAGGGAATAGGATTGATCCTTGATATGAAGACTCCTTCCCTCTCAGTTGGTACTTTGAGCTACTGCATCCATAAGT